ACATACAAACATACGTATAAACCTATAAGCAAAAACTTTACAGCAATGTGCTCTAGATACATAAATGTCTTATGGTCAGAGGAGATGGTATTAGAACTAAGTCTTCAAAAGTCATATTTCCTCAAAGGAAGAAGTGGATAAAAAGTGAGTCAAGACACTGCTAATGGAGGGCCCATCATTAGGAAGACACAGAGAATGTATGTGGGGGTGGACAAGGAGATTGGTATTTGAAGTGATTGTGCATTTCAAATTTATTCTCTAAAATCATGGAAGGCCCTTAGGCAGGAAAATGAGATGATCATATCTGTTCTTTGATGGCAGGTGGGACAAGGGAAGAGATTGGAGGCACAAACACCGTTGCACCTGAATGATGCTGAGGGTTTGAACCAGAATACTGGCTAGAGAAACATATGAAGAGAGGTGTGGGGGACAGCAGAAGCAGAGTACTCCCCATCCTCATGAACATTTGGCTTGGGAGTAGCAGAAGCACAACTTTACTCACTAGAATAGTCCAGTTCTTTTGCATTACCTGGAATTTTTTTATGAGTATTGAGCATTCACTATGTGCCAGGTATCATGGGACATGTTTTACAGGCATGGGCTCATTCTATACTCACATCCACTCAAAGCTACACCATGTCTTGTTCTATACTAGAGTGTGTGTATGGATGAGTAGCTGATTCATTTTCTACCTTCTCATATAAACACGATCTATAATAGGAAGGTTATACATGGCTGTACTGAGAAGGCATTAAATGACTATATGCAAAAAATGAATAAATGAAAGAATCAATGAATGAAATTGTGTTTAAAATGCTCAGAAAATTTGGCAGTTTGATGCAAAAAATAGGATGTGATATGCAAAAAGAGAAAGTGAGAATTTTATTTCAAGCCTAAGAAATCAGGAGGACTATTTATATAGAAAACCCAAAAAACCTGATTTGATGTGGTACCATATGTCTTTTTGCATAAAAAGCTCAAAGTACTAGGTCTTGCAGAAGAACTGAATAAGAGCTTTGGATCTACATAGACATGGTGTAACCTCTTGGCATTTCATTTATTCAAGGAGGTTGAAAATATGATGGCTCTAGGCATATACAAGGAAAAGCATTTTGTGCTCAGGATATTACTGCCTAAGCGGTTGACCAGGGCAAAGTCTGGTGTCAAGATTTCAATGCAGCACCGAGGAAAAGGCTGGAGATGGAGACTAAAGGGAAACCTGTGGTCCAAGTCAGATTTTGTCCAACAAAATCGGGAACCAGATAAAAACCAGACTTAAGAGAGCAAATCAAAATGAAAAGCAAAAGAAGGTTACAGGGAGATACCAAACACAGACTGCACTGAGCTGACAGCAAATCCGTTACTTTCCTCTTCTTGAGGGAGCATCATTCATGTCTTAGGGGAAGTCTCTAAGAATTTGCCTCCTATTTGCTTCCTGAGGCAATACACAAGGTCTGACAAGTGAGTTCGCAAATTCATCCTAGAAAAAGTGCTACACACCTCATTGCTGAATATCACTATGGTCACCTTCAAAGTACTCTCCTTGGGAAGCTATGCAACAACACCAGCGCCTAGTCCACCCTTCAAAGCAATTTTGGAACTCTTTTTCTGGAATGGCCATCAGAGCTGTCGTCATATTACCCTTGATGGCCTGAATGTCATCAAAATGTCTTCCTTTCAATATTTCCTTGATCTTCGGGTAAAGAAAGAAGTCATTGGGGGCCAGATCAAGTAAGTAGAGAGGGTGTTCCAAGACAGTTATTTGTTGACTGGCTAACAACTCCCTCACAGACAGTGCCATGTGAGCGATGCATTGTTGTGATGCAAGAGCCATGAATTGTTGGCAAAAAGTTCAGGTCGTCTAACTTTTTCACACAGCCTTTTCAGCACTTCCAAATAGTAAGCTTGGTTAACTGTCCGGTTGGTACAAATTTATAATGAATAATCCTTCTAATACCAAAAAAGTTTAGCAACATTATTTTGATTCTTGATTTGAACTGATGGAAATTTTTTGGTTGTGGAGAATTGGCTGACTTCCATTGTGCACTTTGACACTTTGTTTCAGGGTTGTATTGGTACACCCATGTTTCATCACCAGTGATAACATGACCAAAACACCGTCTTGCCTCTCCAAAAGGTCTTGGCAAACTTCAACTCCCCTTTGCTTTTGTTCATTGGTGAGCTCCTTCAGGACCATTGTTGCACACGCCTTTCTCATGCCAAGATTTTTCTAACTGTTTCTCTATCGATGTTTACTTGGTCTGCTATGCTTCTCACAGTCAGTTGACTATTTTGATGCACAATTTGACGAATTTTTGCAATGTTTTCATCAGTTCTGCTCGTTATTGGCTGCCCTGACCTCTCTTCATCAGTGATGTGTTTTCTCCCCTCAGAAAAATGTTTAATCCATTTGTATACTGTGTTTTCTTCATGGCATTATCCCCATAAACGTGGACTAACATGTCCCTGATTTCACTTCCACTCTCGCCAAGTTTAACAAGAAATTTAATGTTTGTCCATTGCTAATTCAAGCTCAGACATTCTCACGAGGGCACCAAAAAAAAACACACAACAATAATGAACGCTACTCAGCAAGACAATGCCAAACAGCTGTGAGACACTGATATACCAAGGTTATGAAACCTTGCAGAGCTGTTTATACAGTGCTGCCAATGTAAGCGCACGGTGGCCAGTTTGCGAACGTGATTGTCAGACTTCATATGGCTGATTAAGAATGTTATCTGTTTTTTGTTTAAGTTTCAAGATTTAGCATACTGATTTGTGGGCTATGGATAAGATGTAGCTTTCTGAATACCAAGAATAAGAGACCTGGGAACTTATGAGCCGTGACGTTTCCAAAGGCCATCACAGGTAAAATGCCTCTCAAGCTTCTAGGAAAGATGAATGGTGATGTCATGGCAAGATGTCAGGTGTGAAGCAGAGGGGAGACTGAAGCTATGATTATTCCCAACTACAGCACCCTTCTCTCATATAATAGTAGCAGCTAACATGTATCGAGGGCTAACTCTGTGCCAACTCTTTTCCTGAATTAACTCTTTAAACTCTGACAACAAACCATGAAGCAGATTCCTCCAATTCCTTCATACAGGTCATACAAGCGAGGAAACTTGACTCAAAGTTTAAGTGACTTCTGAAGCCCCACAGCTAGTAAGGGTGTAGCTGGGAGTTTGCATCAAGGCACTCTCTCCCGAGTCTTTGCACTTAGGGTTACAATGGCGACTGTCAAAGAGACTTAAACGCCCAGGCAAGCGGCTGCTTGCCTCTGAAGCCAGCGGTCTCTCTAGCAGGACAGCTAGAAGAGCAGCGAAGGAAGGGCTTTGACAGAAAGAATTTTATGCATATATAATTTTATAGGGCTTTAGAATTAGTGCCCATTTTAAGAAGTGAATGTGCTTCTTTCCATCGAATTAGTTTCACAGTCACTCAAAATAGGCAGTCCTTTACAGAAGCTTCAGCAATCTTCGCAATGTAGGTTCTGAACCTCTGGACATATAACACCCAGCTATCAAGTGATCATTATGAAGAGGCTTGCACGCAACTGACAAACATTCTAAAGTCAAAAACAAAAACAAGCCCTTTCCATTATCCTATTTTCTTGTTTGATTTTTGTTAATATGAAATAGATCGTATTTGTGATATATTTAAAAACATTCAGTATTATTAGGAGTGATTTAAGGTGAATCATTCTGTGTAACTTTCATGCTTAAAAAACATTTTTTTATTCAAAGGTCTTACAGTCACCCTAGGAAAGGAACTCTATTATTATCCCCCATTTTATTATTAAAAAAAAGACCCAAAAAACAGACAAAAAATTATGCAACTTAACCAGTATCCCATAGTATCACAGTTTTTAGAATAGAAAATTTATATAAATGTGGTGATGACAATGGACCAATGATCTCTTTAAATCAAACTCTAAAATTCTAAAAAATGTAGAAGAAGATTCTAAAAAAGAGACCCATTTCTCTTAAGAAAACAAAATCCAGAAAGCTCATATTAGACACGTGATTAACAAACTCATACTAATTTTTAAAGACTACTTGACTTACTTTACCGTAACTAGTAATAGACAAAAATTCTGTACATAATTTATTAAAAATAACTTTGCAAAACAGTATATTTGACTGAGCAGTAATGAAACTATTGAAAAGATAAACTGATTATTAAACAATTACCCAATGTTAATCTTCAAAAATAATTGTTATAAGCCAACCTTGTGAATTCAAGAGAAGCATATTACTAATAATCACATATATTAGAAATACATTTAAAACGTCCACATGGTTAGCATACATAGAAAATTAACTGACTGAAATCAGCTGTGAAACCTGGCCTGGAATTTGGTTAACTATTGAGTTTAATTTTGTCTTATTGTTTCAAAATTTAAATAGTTTGCTCTACATTTGTTAAAAACTGTAATCTTAAGGTATTAAAAAGTAGCTTTACAAACACATAGGGTATGACTAGACGTGTCATCTAAAAAGTTATAAAAGTTGTTCCTGGAGAGCTTTCACAATCTCTGTATTTCAATTTATTTTAAAAAGTCACTATTTTGCATTTATAAACTGTATCCTTGCATTAAAAATATAAACTGTAAATAGCCTATTATATACAAAATAACCACATCCCAATTTTAATTTTTTTACACTATTCTTTTTGTTAGAAAGTTGCATCTAATGAAAACATGACACATTTCTACAGTTTCAAAGGCAAAATTAAAAGTTCCCTGTTGAAGAAATAATGAAGCAATTACAAAGGTATTTGAAACAATAAAGTGAACATTCCATTGATTTTAAGAAAAACCAGGAATACATGCCCTGACAGAAAACGGAAACAGTATAACTCACTTTATAAGAGCAATGGCTTTTAAAAATATTTAAATTCTTCAACCCAAGTAGGAATTTTAAAAAAACAAAGAGGAGAGAAAGAGATAGAGAAGGAAAAAGAGAAGGAGAGGGAGAAGGAGAGGGGAGGAGGAGGAAAGAAGGGGGCGCAGGGAGAGGGAGAGGGAGGGAGGGAGAGAGAGGGAGAGGAGGAGAGAGAGAGCGCGCAAAACCTTGCAGGAGTAAAATTACATTCTTAAAGGATTTTCTAAACTTAAATTTTGCTGACAAGGTTGGTAACAGAGGAAATGTAGACTCAGTATAGGATTTCATATAGAATACAACCTAGAAACTAAACTCCACCAAAATGGAAGTGTAATAACAGTCAGTGCCTGGTGGGGAGTCTCCCTTTGCATTATGAAGAAAGGTCATGTTACAAGAATAAACCGATATTAAGAATGTAGTATACATACTTTAGAATGCTTAGGAGAACAGTCTTCAAGCACCACACACACAATTAATTAACTAGGTAATTGGAGATCATGTTAAAGCAAGATCTCTACAGTTTTCTATTAGGTTGTACTTTAAGTAGTCTATGATACAGACTTAAATTAATTCTATTTTATTGCACTATAAATTGGCTGTTGTTACTATACCCATATGTAAACAATAACACAGACTTCCTTAATATTTCTATTTCTGTAGATTTGTTTGGGTGAAGACAAGCAATTGAAAACTGAGGAAGAATTGGGAAATTTGTGCAATTATTTACAGCATTTCTCAATAAATGTGCATTATCCTATGAAGATCCTATCAAAATAATGGGGGAAAAGCCCCAAACACTGTATTTTCTAGTTTTAAAATGTCCGGGCTTTTAAGTTGAAAAAAAAAAAAAGTGATAAAGCCACTGACTTTTGTAGACTTATTAGAATGCACTCATCTCCTTATGCACGTTTCTGCTAGTGTCCTAAATTTGGGTTCCAAATGATCCAAAAATTCAAGTCCATCTTCTTCCTGTCGTTCACTGCAACAGCCTACAGAGCCCGCCACCGATCCCTTTCCTTCGTAGTTGTACGTAAGGACGTAGTCTTGAGCATGCTTATGATTGTCATCTTGATCACAAAGCTGTACCCTCTGCCAAGGGGAGAAACACAACATATTTTATTATTATTATTTTAAACACCAAAACTTACTAACATAAAAATAATGGCTTTGATTTACCTTTCATTGTTTTAATTTTTAATCAGAGTGTGTCCTCTAATGGATTCCTACATACAAAAAATGCACATGATTGGTCTGTATCATAAATCACACTATAAATTCACTATTTAGCATGTTTCTAAAAGTTATACATGTGACAGCAAGTATACAAGTGTTCGTTTTAAGTAATCATTACTTTCCCTTTCAAAATTATGGCTAATGTAAAGTGCATCCATTAAACTGAACCCAAATTGATGTGGGCTCAGATCTTCCCAGATAGGCATAGTGAGTGTGCAGGCTATAATTATCTTGTATCACACTTCTGATTTCTAAGGCATGACTTGTCAGGTGGGAAGCTTTGACGTGAAGTCATGAGAAAAAAAATTAAATATGTCACATTATTTCAGTAAGAACTAAAAATCAAACAAAATGTGAGGAAAAGTAAAGATCTGCATCGCATCAGAACATAACTAAATCAAAGTTAAGGAAAACAACTTTCCCATTAGTAAACTAATAAAAAATAAAGGTCAGGTCACTACATTGCAATTCTTTAGAAAGTTGAAAAGAAATCAAAATAGATTTGTAGGACATGTAGGGAAACTCACTTCACCAAGACGGGGCTGAGTGAAACAATGCCACTCCGAGTAAGTGCATCTGCTGTTGTCCACCTCCACGATGCCTCCTCTGCAGGAATCCAGGGTGTGCTGTCCACCTCCCTTACACAATTCCAGCGTGTGATGATGGCCGGCCCCCTGGCACGGTTCCAAGGTCTGGTGTCCTCCTTTCACCATTTCAATGGTCTCCTGCACTCCATTTTTCACTCCTGATCCCATAGTACCACAGACTCCCTGAGCCGAACAGCCTACAGCATGTGTTGTGAAGCCATTCACAGAACACTGAAATGAAGCAGTTTGCATTAGGGAAATACAGGAAAAAAAAAAGGAAGAAAAAAAAACAAAACACACACACATGCAAACAATACAATGAATTTTTTTTGTGCTAGAAAGTAAGGTCTCTAAGGGCAGGAACTAAATCTGTCTGGGCAATCCTGAGCACTATTGTAACCCCAGTACTACACGGAGTACAATAAGCAAATTCTCGATGTCAAGTAGTTTGCACCTTGAGACAGATTGGAAAGCTTAATGTATGTTCCTTCTTTAAAAACTTCTTAGAATACTGTACAACTTCATTTGTTAAAGCCTTTCAGCATCTCACATCTCAAAATCAGGATTCTAGTACTATTGTATTACATGCATTTACCCTTAGTTTAAATTCATTCCTTTCATCTGACTAGGGCAGAAATGAAAATAATGATCAGTATTTTTATTCAGTGTCTAACCTAATTCCCCTTCAACTAAAACAAAAATAATAGAAATAAAGTTGCCACAAAAATCTTAGCTGCAATAATAAATCCTTGCGATCGAAATAAAAATACATCAGTATGAAAATAAGAACACCAAAGCTTTGGCCACTAATTTTCTATGTTGCATTTTTCCTGCTCTAATCATCGATGATGCTTTTTGTGGGGAATTGACTTGTTCCTCATCCACATACTAGGCTAGAAATCAAACCTGGAGCAATATAGTCACTTGCTAACATTGCTGTTTCTTATATTGGACCTAAGCCTCCTCACTAATCCACACAAGAGTCTGAAAGACTCCAATAAAGTTCTTCTCACACTGATCAAAGCTTATAGTCATTTTATTGCTGTTGCCAGAAATAATTAAAACAATTATGCTAATGATCTGTGAATAATTAAGTGAAACATTTTTACAACACAAACAGCAGTTTCAATATATAAAAAAAGACAGGCCTAAAGTTGAACTCATGAAAAATTTGAAGTAGAAAATAATAAGGACAAGCTGAAAAATTTTTACTATTAAACAACACTATATGGCTAAATTGAAATGCTATCTATTGCTGTGGGGATCAATGTCATTTTATCTGTTCCATGGGACCAATGTCAATATATCTATATCTATATCTATATATTTATATATATTTACCTGATTTCAAAAGAACTTTGTTCAGAAAAGATAATTATGGTTAGTCAAGCCACTTTATCTTTTGTGTTTATTTGAAAAAGACAAACTAGGGCCGGCCGAGTGGCTCAGTTGGTTAAGAGCTCGCTCCAAGAGTTTGAGCTCTGAGCAACAGCGGTTCGAGTCCAGCCCGAGCTGAGCAGCCGCTGAGCTGCCAACAGGTGGCAGGATGGCTCAGCTAAAAAAAAAAAAAAAATTTATTGAAAAAGACAAACTACTCACCACTTTGTCATCTCCAGGAGCTTCAGTGTTTGACACAATGAGGTTCTGCTGGGCTACGTCCTCAGGAATTGCTTTCGGCTTTTTGCCTGCCCCAGTAGCCCCACAGACTAAGGTAAATAAGATACCTGCAGAATGAGAGAAATTACTTCAGTTCATCATAAAACAATGTGAAGTTATGAATTTATGATGAACTAATACAGCTTTCCAGAAAACGAATATATGATTGCTTGTGTCAAAGTAGCATAAAATAGAAAACTCTGCCTTAACCAGGTATGCCACGAAGACATGCTAACTGCTGGATTTCTGGGTTACATTTTACGTTTATGCTCAGTAACACTAGAACTATAAATGCACTTTCAACATGTACATTAAATATGTGTGTTAAATAGAAATACAGCTATATACAAATGAACAGCGATAGCTAACAGTGTTGATCTAAGAATGCATCTTGAAAGTTATTTTAAGGCTATTATTTGAGTTCATAAAGGGACTTACAAAACAGCAAGGCTATGCCCAACAATATTGCAAGGATGGCCCACTTTCCAAGTTTTATTTCTGCACCACCAGCTGTCCTTGAGTCTATGCGGCTTGTGCAGTCATCTTCTGTAACACAGTCACACACTACAACGTTCAATGGAGTGATACGGGACAGGCCATGTTTATCTGCAACTCTGACAGGCACTGAATATGATCCAAATGGAGGGTCATTTTGATATGAAAGACGTGCTGCTGTATCTGAAAGAAAATAAAACCAAGCATTATAGAATGCCACTGATTTCTCCTGAGCATAAACAGCCAGTGATAGGGTAAGTCATCAAATTTTCCACAAATGGATATTCTTGATGGGACAGCGTGACTGCTACAAGACTGTAAACGTGAACGGACTGAGTAATTCCAATCTACAGCCATTGCAAATACACTGCCTATAAAGCTTGGTCTACGCTGCCTCTTAAAAAGGGTCTTTTGGTTTTTATAATTACATATTTATTTACACATAAATAAATTCTATCCCAACTAATAAGAGTTAAGAGACTGGTTTTTATCACCGCTTTAACATTTTTAATATAAACATTCAGTGTATATTTTCTTCTACATGATTCATCAGAGTTATAGCCGACATTCTGGACACTGCCTTAACTTGCCACCATAGCTTCTCCATGTCCTTCTTTCTCTCCCCCAGCCCATTCTCCATTTCCCTTCTTTCCTGACCTTTCTTTTCTAATTTACCATAATAGAAATTTGAGGAATATCCAGTGAAAGCCTGGGGATGAAAACTATTTCGGGGCATTTTAAGGACAAGCCCCATTCAGTTTACATGGGATCTTGAGTCATGAATGCAGGACGGCAGGGAGACCAGGACCCCACGGCACATGGGTCGTATATCGTCAGGAGATGGAGAACATGCTGGAGGGTTAAGAGCTGATGTAGGGAGTGAAGACACGGTGGTATGGAGGGGGTCCCCTTTACTTTTGCCATTCTTGTCGCCATAGAACCCGTCGTGGGTACAGTCGAAGTACAGATCAGAAGCCAAGTTGGGGGAGAATCCCAAGTAGAAAACAATAGATAAGAAAAGGTCAGGAGTCAATGCAGCACCGAGAGGAGAAATAGTATGGCGGACACTGTGATGCACCCCCACCCCCCCCCCTACAATCAGGGACTTACTGTCCTAGCTGCTTGGGAGGCTCCCAGCACCTTCAGAGATTGCGCCTCTCCTTGTTGGCAGGAAGGAGAAAGTGGAGCAAGGAGAGAGTGGAGAGGCTCAGCTTGGGGCCACTCTGGAAAGCCAATTAGCAGAGAGTCCCCATGGGGTTGGCTGAGACTGTCTTTTGGCCCCAGTTGCAGCTTGACTTGTCTTTTTGCCCAATCCTGCTTCCCTTTCTGTCACAGCTATTGATGACAAGGAAACTCCTTAATAAACATCTGCCTGAGAAACTCTGTCTCAGAGTCTGCTTCCTGAAGAACAGACCGTGATACATGGGGATTCAATTGTGGAATCATTAGCATTTAAAGAAGTCATGTAGAAGGGCCAGCCGAGTGGCTCAGTTGGTTAAGAGCTCGCTCAAGAGTTTGAGCTCTGAGCAACAGCGGTTTGAGTCCAGCCTGAGATGAGCAGCCGCTGAGCAGCCGCTGAGCTGCAGACAGGTAGCAGGATGGCTCAGCTGAACAAAAACAACAACAACAACAAGAAGTCATGTAGATAAGGGGGTATACTAGTCAGGAAGTGATTATATTAGACCCACTCTAAGGGGGTGTGTGTGTGTGTGTGTGTGTGTGTGTGTGTGTTTGGAGTGAGAATGAGAATTCACGTAATTCCTAAAGAAATCCTGGCATTGGATTGATTAGAGAGAGGCACTAGAGAGACCCATTTCCCACCATACTAAACCTGAGAAACTTGCCTTTTTTCATTGGTGATTCCCACATGGAGAATTATTCTTGTATTTCATCAAGAAAAAAAGTATCTTAGCGTGGGAGGAAGATGAAGAGGGTGAAGGGGGTCAAATATATGGTGATGGGAGGGGACTAGACTTCAGGTGGTTAACACACACTGTGATATATAGATGATGTATTATAGAATTGTACACCCGAAACTTATATAATGTTATTAATGAATGTTATCTCAATAAACTGAGTTAAAAAAGAAATAAAGTATTTTAGACGTCCTGATGTTGAAAAGGACAAAATGTTTGCAAGTACATACCATCTGCCATAAGATGAAATACTGCCATTTGTGACAACATGGATGGATCTTGAGATTATTATGCTAAGTGAAATAAGCCAGACAGAAAAAGTCGAGAACCACATGACTTCACTCATATGTGGGATATAAAACTGAAAGCAACAAAAGAACAAGGCAAACACACAAAGAAACAAAAACTCATAGAAACAGACAACAGTTTAGTGGTTACCAGAGGGTAAGAGGTCAAATATATGGTGATGGAAGGAGAACTGACTCTGGGTGGTGAGCACACAATGTGACATACAGATGATATATTATGGAATTGTACTCTTGAAACCTATGTGATTTTACTAACCACCATCACCCCGAGAAACTTAATTTGAAAAAAAAAAAGAACAAAGTAAAACAAAAGAAATGCATACCATTAATTTTTGTCAGTCTCCACGTTCTCTGTATGTCTGAATCAGGAACACTCTCCAAACTGAAGCTAAAGGGTGGGCCATTTATAACGTCATCAGGATCAAAAGCAACAATCTCTGCGGAGGACATGACAGGTTTGCAGACTATCACTGTTTGTCTACGTATTAATGGGCCATTATCATTCACGTCTTCAAGGATAATTCCCAGCGTCCCAGTACATGTTCTTCCACCTAGAAAATCAGATATAAAGATACAATTTTTTAATGTTTTGTGCTTTCATTAGGAAATTATACATCAAAAACATTTTTTTAAATATTAGGCACTGTAACATACATGACTGACAAGCATAGTCACAGGCTCTGTCCTTAGGGAATGTTAAAAGTAAAACATTATCACTTTCAAATGGGTTGTACAGGTAATAGTTGCTACTTAGATTGTCATTCATTCATTAAATAGCTGCAATAGACATGGAAACTTTTACGGAGGTAAGTTTTGACTGATTTTTAGAAGGAGAAAGGAAGAGAGTGCGGACAAGGGCATTTCTGATATATTTAAAAGTACAAGGAAATTCGAAGAGGTGGAAAAACACAGCATGCACATCTGTATTCTAGACATAATGAAGGGGGAGGCAGATTTGGGGGAGCTGACACTAGAGAGAAGAGCCAAGCGTCCCTAGGGAGCTTGGCGCTTAATATACACAGAGAAAGCACTTACGGTTTTGGAGAAGGGAAATTCAAAGTTACAAGATATGTATTTGGAAGATTAGAACAAATATAGCACATGGAAATGTTCAAAGGGCGAAAACCCCAAAAGTGGGAAATCATGTGCAAACCAAAACAATCATTCTGGAGTGCAGCCTAAAGAATTTATCTATTCTATGAAGTCAATAAAATTTTACTAAATAATTACTTTGTACAGGGCACTGTAAAATACGGGGGGTTCAAAGATGAAGTGGTCTTGGGTCCAGGCCACAAATTAGTAATATGGTTAGGAAGTCCAAACCTGAACACAAATCCAGAGTTCTGTCTCTAAATCATTTATTCTTTCTGCTTAATAAGGAAGCCTTGGACATCAGGGGTGGATTACAAAATGAAAAACCTGTGCCACCCACTGCCTGGGGTTGTGTCTTATAAGAAGCTGCTGGCCTAGGGAAGCTGGAAGACCAGGTACAGTCCTGTAGTCACAACCTCGACCAAGGCAACAGGATCCTAACCCAGCGCCATCATGGGTCAGGAGCCACGGCCCACCAAGTTAAGAACTGGTTCTGAAAGGTGTGCCACAGCAAAGGATGAACTGGAGGCACGTGTGACTGCTAGTTAAGATGGGGAATTGGGAGAGGAAAAACCGAAGACAGAAAGCAAACCAAAATACCTGCCACTTAATGTACGCCTGAAAATTAAAATTCCAGAGGGAGTAGGTTAATGCTAAGAAGGAAAGCCAACAAAATCACCAATCAGAAGATTAACTTACTTCATGCAAAACATTTTTGAAACATGTATATTTAGCATCTTCAAAAACAGAAAGAAGGATAACTGTTTAAACAATAATGAAATTATAGCTCCAATTCCAGTAGAAATAAAACAGCAACATTTATCTAATAGAGACTAGAGGAAGAGAATAAGTAGAATGGCAGGGGAGAAATATTTAAAGAGATAATTGCTGAGAATATCCCCAAATTAAAGAAAAACCTGGATCTTCCATTTTAAAATATATTCTGACTGCAGTGCTGAGTAAATAAAAATATATTCATTAATTTAGAGAGAATTATAATATCTAAAACTTCTAAACTCTAATTTTGCATGTTATAGTGTAATAATTTACGTTTATAGTTAGCGTATTTATTTTAAAGAGGCACAAAGTTCAAAGGTATGTTATGGTAATACTATATTTTATGCACTAATCATTGTGTTCGTATTTCCTTCCATTTTATAGGAATCGAAGAACATGATTTTACATTTTATTTAATTATATGGATTTGTGCTGCTTCTTTTTAATTTTGATACACAATTAATCATGACTATGATTTATTTTTATATAATGACCTTAATCAGAATTCTAACCCCCGAGGACATTGTTAGCTCTTATAAGAAGACAGAACTGTTTTCTACGAGTGTATTATATGGCAATAAGCATGTTCCCTCTGTAATGAATCTTCTTGCCAAAGTTAATATTTTAAGACCTATGACTACATAAATTGAAGCTAATATGACTGAAGAAATTTTCTCAACTTTAAATAATTATTTAAATTTCATAAATTATTTAAGTTTCTAGGATTTCTGTGACTAAGTTATTTTATAATTACATGAAAAACTGAAAGGGCTATTAGAAAGCACATGAGTTAAGAAATTATAGCTAGCCTCTCAATTACTCTCTATGTCATCTGGGGAGGAGGAATACATCTTGAGAATGTATACAGCGGACTTAAACGAAGTGCTCACCTCTGTCTGACGCAAGGATTGTAACATTATATACACCTTTTGTGATAGACTCCGCCTCTCTATCCAAGCTTCTGAAAGTTGTGATTGATCCCGTGTTTTCATCCACAGTGACCCAGCCTTTTGGATCATTTACTTTCTTATAGCTGTTAAAAATGATGAGTGAAAATAATAAAATGTACCTTAAGCCAAGTTAAAACACGGGTATCAAAATAAGTTATACATTTTAAAACCATGGTAAATTTGGAGTTAAATTAAGTTTCAAATACCTGATGCCTTTGCTGCTTCTTGTTTCTGGGTCATAGGCCTTATAGCCATTGATCTCAGTCCTCACTGGTGCGTTTTCTTTAATTCGAACGGTTTGTACTGGAGGGAGACACTCGGGGCCCTCATCCTGGTCTCTCACATTCACAATAACCGTTGCCGTGCTCATGGCTGATTTTGAACCAAAGTCTTTAGAATATGGAGCTTCATTAACTACACCGATCTGCAGGGTCACCTGTTGTCTTTCTTCAAAATTCAGTGGCTACAAAACCAAGTGTGTTGAAAATCAGTTCAAGACATTTAATATCTGGCAATGCTAACTAGTGTGTGTAACGAGTTCAATTTGGACATACAGAAGTGCTGTGTTGGGAATAGTCATGAGAATATTAAACATATACCCAGAAACGAGATGGTAGTGGGAGGACGGCACTCCTTCAAATGACTGAGTATTTGGTAAGGCGAGCAAAAAAACAAAAAACAAAACAAAACAAAAACAAACAAAACAAACAAAATGTTCCCCAATGGCAAATTTAACACAAGTAATATCATAGGTCCTGATAAGCATTTCAGAAAGTATTTAATGAAGTTGTTTCGTGGTTAACACTTGAGGGGGTCCATACACTAACAGTTATTTACTACTCCATTAATTAATTTTGGGACAGCTTATCCTACCCTCCTGAGATGAAGAAAATTATTTCTGTCTGATTTAGGGTAGAAAATATGGGACAAATTTTATAAAACATTTTTAAGAGAGGAGAGGCAAGACAATAGAAAGCTTGTGGACATTATATTCTCCCCACCCCACCCCCCTTTTTTTCCTCTTCTATCCTAGTTACTTCCCAAAAAAACTGGTAGTACAGAGTTTAATGGAAAGTTTTTGTTTGTTTGTTTGGTTTTGGTTTTTGCCTGATATGGAGTTGTAATGAGAATAAATGAAGCCATTTCCTGGGAGACAGGAATTGTGTCAGGTCTTAGACTTCAAAGAAGTAAATTTACTTCTTAGAATGACTACCAAAGTTTAGGACAGGGGTTGCATAAAGAGACAAAATTTAAAGGACATTTCTTTGCTATTTCGAAACAGAAATTAACCCACAGACTGCAGCTAAATTTCATCATTTTAAAAAAAAATGGATTCATCATTTTTGATCCATGCTCCTTGTGAATATGTACAAAAGGGAAAATCCATAGACTCAGGATCGAATCACGTTCTAGTTAAAGATGCAGCAGATATAAGCCTATGACTCAGTTCAAAGCCAAAGGAGCCCAGATCGTTTCATGGACTAACTCTGGTTCTTGAATTAACAGTGAGTTCTTCTGAGATGCTGTAGAAGAGTATTAAAAAGGGGTTTTAGAAGTATTTACATTTCGATTGGCTGAGGATTCCCATTCTGAACCAGGAAACTAAGGATGTAATGTAAACTGGATACAGACAGCAGGGCTACAAAGAGCCTCCCTACGGGTCTGACCAAGAGTAACTCATCATTTGGAAAATTCAATAAATAAGTGAAGGCTCCCTGACCGAGCTACAGAATGAATGGTCTAGGAAAGTTTGGCACTGTCCCACCGGGATCACAGTTTTTGAATTAAGAGCTACTGGTTACAAAGTGAATACTATATCATATTATTTCAATATACACATATGTATATTTTTAAATCATGCCTTTATATGGTTCCTCACATTAGTAATTTTCAATTAATTTATGAAGATAGTTTCTGAAATTTAAAGTGCTACTTATAGACTAATGAATCAGTTGGCCAAGAGATACAAATTTCCAATTATATAATAAATGTCAGAGGAATGTAATGTACAGCATGCTGATTATAGTTAATAATACTATATTGCACACTGAAAGTAGCTAAGACAGTGGATCTTGAAAGTTCTCATCACAAGAAAAACAACTTTGTAACTATGTATGGTGACAGATATTAATTGTGGTGATCACTTTGCAACATATATACAAGTATGAAATTATATTGTACACCTGAAACTAATATAATGTTATGTCAATTATACCTCAATTTAAAAAAATAGTTCCCGGGCCGGCCAAGTGGCTCAGTTGGTTAAGAGCACGAGCTCTGAGCAACAGAGTCGCAGGTTCGATTCCCAGATGGGCCAGTGAGCTGCACCCGACCTGAGCTGCCGCTGAGCTGCCAACAGGTGGCAGGATGGCTCAGCTGGTGAGAACATGTGCTCCTAACAACAAGGTTGTGGATTGGACTCCTGCATGGGAAGGTGGGTTATGCCCACCCGCAACTAAGATTGAACATGGCACCTTGAGCTGAGTGGCTGGATGTTGACTAGACTTGAAGCTGAGCCAGCTGTGCCCTCCACAACTAAGATTGAAGAACAACAACTTGGCTGTTCCCCTTCCCCAATTCTCCAACACTGTTCCCCTTCCCCAATTCCCCAATAAAATCTTTAAAAAAAACAGTTCTCAAAATAAATATATTCATTCCATTATATATGAAGAACATAGCATTTACATTTAACTATACATCTATTTTATTCCTACATTTACCAGATTCCTTTCATTTCATTAACTCTAGTACATTAATCTATAATATTATAAACAACAAAAAAATAACTAATTTACTCATTTATTCTTACCTTAATGACATATAGAACTCCTTCATTGGTTCTGGGATCTGTTACAATTTTGAAATTTCCATCTTCATTGCCCTTTAAAATGGTATAATTAGCTCTCCAATTAGCGGTATTGATTAAATCCTTATCCTCAACGCTAACACGTATGATTTCCACATCAACTGTATTTTCTTCCACTGATGTCACATACTAAAATAATAAAAGCAAACAAAAAAGGTTTAATTAGTAACTCTCACAAAAATAGAACACCATGTGAAGTAAGCCCGCTTCTTCTAACTTCCAGAGTACTGTTTACATGATTTTAAACCTTATCTAGAGGGATACTTCATTTGAAATCATGTGGCGTGATGGAAGTGTGCATATTTAGTAACCAACACTGAGCTATACGTTTTTCTTTTATTAATATCGTACTTACAGAAGTACGGGTAAATGTTGGCAAGTTGTCATTCACATCTTCAATCTGAATGATGCAACTTGCAGTCGTCTGCAAACCAAAATATTGACCATCCATGTCCTGTACTTTTATTTTCAACTGGTACTTATCAATTACCTGAAAAGAAAGTAAGAATTTACTTATTAAGTGAAAGCAACATTATACATAAAATCTGAATTGACACTATATAATTTTCCTTGCATTAAAAATTTAAGAGGTACACTATTAAATTTCCTAACTTTCATGCACTGGCAGAAGAATAATTTCCTTACACTAGTAATTTTCAATTAATTTACAAAAATAGAGTAGTTTCTCAAGTTTAAGCTACTACTCATAGAATATGGAGTCAATTAGCTTTAACTTTATTCAACAGAAAGAAAAGATAAAGCCATAGTACATTTAAAATTGCCCAGTAATAAATCAAAGTCTTTCCTTCTTATCCAAAGTACAATATGTTCAAAAACACATAGCAGTGACTCTTAAACTAGTCTTATAAGAAAACAATAAAGTGCAATATCCCTCTTTAAAAAAGATAGATTTTAAATGTTTACATTGATAACATCATTAAGTTAGCATGATAACAAGGGTCTGGTCATATAATTTTTCTCTCCATGGAAAATAGAATCTGGCTCTTAGGACTTTCCATTCATCAGAGATGGCAGAAGGCTTATCACTAGTTAAAAAATGTGTTTCTCCTCATAATGGTTTTATATCGTAAGTAATTGAGATATGGAAGGATTATAAACAACACAAAATAATAATGCCTTTAGGACCTATTCAAGACTTGATGATAAAAAAGAAATTGGTTTATAACCTGCTTTTCTTATACACATAAATTTGGTAAAAAATCTGTATAATATGTAAAGCTATAGCACTAATTCATGCATTCAAGTATGTAGCAAATGATTTTGTATTCTTCACTGGCACCTACCATAAAAATAAATGAATTTATAAATAAAATAAGTGACAGTTTCACTTGGAAATTTCCTTAAAGATGTAGTAAAAAATGATTAATTTTAATGAATTTCAACCTATATAGTCTATATGAAAAAATGGGAGCTATGCATACAGCACTTCAGCAGCATAACATAGTATGGCATTTCTCTCACAAAAATGTACTTGTGTGGGGGCTGGCCAAGTGGCTCAGTTGGTTAAGAGTTAGCTTAAGAGCACGAGCTCTGAGCAACAAGGCTGCCAGTTCGATTCCCACATGGGCCAGTGAGGCTGCACCCAAGCTGAGCTGCCGCTGAGCTGCCAACAGGTGGCAGGATGGCTCAGCTGGCGAGAGCACATGCTCCTAACAACAAGACTGCCTGTTCAATGGTGGGCTACGCCCACCCGCAACTAAGAGTGTAACACAGCACCCTGAGCTTAGAGGTCGCGAGCTGCCGATGGGCAGCCAGATGGCGACTGCTGCCCTCCACCACTAGGATTGAAGAACAACAACTTGGCTGGTCCCCTTCCCCAATTCCCCAACACTGTCACCTCCCCCAATTCCCCAATTTAAAAAAAAAAAAAAAGTACTTGTGTGATTGTTTGACTTATGAGCTGATCTGACTGTTGTTGGTTTTTTTGTTTTAAAGAATGCCATTTTTACATAAAATAACACCTCTGGTTATTCACATTGATATATTTGGAAAACATTTTGTCAAATAAAGTGAATATGTCACTTCAAGGAAAAAAATTATTTGTTGCCAATAAATTGGAATGTTTAAGCAAAAATGAGAATTCTAGAAAACTTTTATCGACCATTGTTGACATTAATGGAGGTGAGGAGGTGATTTCATACATGGGTAAACTATGCAGACATAATATAAGATAGACCAATGGGTTTTAATGTAACAGAGAATGAACGTTCATTGATAAGGCTTCAGAGTACAATTGCAAAAAACATTTAGGAAACTACCACTTGTCAAGTTTTGGTGTAGTACCAAAGATGAACATCCACAATGATCTGAAATTACTATTAAAATCCTCCTCTTTTATAACTGTATATTATATTGGATTTTCTTTATATATAAGACTACATATTATAACAGAGTGAATGCAGAAAAACAAACAAGCATCCATCTGCCTTGTATAAAGCCAGGTATTAAAGAGACTTGGAAAAATGCATAATAATGTCACTCTTCTCAGTAAATTATTTATTGTTTTGGAAAATGTGATTATTTTTTATAAAAATGTTATGCATGATAACATGTAATATATTTATTATAATTTTAAATGGGTAATTAAATACATATTCTAAGCTTTTATCAATTCTAAAAACTAATGGAGTAAATATTGACAAATACAACCCATATAAACAAAAGATCTTTGCAATCCTCAATAATATTTCAGAATGTAAAGGGACCTTGAAATTAGAACATTTGAAGACCACTGCTCTATTCCATGAGAGATAGAAAAAGAAATGAATCTGACATGAAGTTTCAGGAATCAAAGAAATACCGGATATATATATTAAAAATTATAAATGTAGTAAGTAGGCCAGGTAAACTGTTATAAGAATTCAGATGAATAAATGCTTGGTGGAGGAGGTAATAACCAAGTGAATAAATTACTAAACTAAGATTAGTTGCAGTGGAAATGGACAGAATATATAAGCAAAATAATTTGGGAGGCAATATTAACATGCTTTGGAAAGAGATTTGATGTAAGGGACAAAAGAAGATATCAAACACAATTTGGAGAATATGAATTCAAGGTTGCAATTGAAAAATTATTAATAGAAAAAGAACGCATTAATGTCATTTTGACTAGAAAACATGGGAAGAGAGTATGTTTAGAAGGAGAGTTCAATTTTAGATGTCCTGCATTTTAGGTACCTGCAAAACATTCAAATAAAGATTTCTAGCAGTCAATTGAAAATGGTAAGCCAGAGAGATAAAGACTCGCACTCTATGCAAGGAGAGGAATGTAGATGAACATATTGAGGAAGAGATGATGCAGACAGAAAAAGCATTGGTATCTATATAGATAGCAAATTTCCACAGTTCCAAAACTTTCCCTTTTCATATTTGATACTTGTTTCTAGTACTATAAATATATTAGGAAAACTGTTTTTATAAAGCATAATTCAGCAGAGAACGAATTAGAGGTTCAAAATTAGTGCACTACATGGTGAATGATTGTCATTAAAATACTTAAAATGATAGTTTTTCTAAAATTAGATTCACGATATGCTTTTCAAAAACACATTTACAGGTGATACACAGAGATATACAGGTACTATTAAATAAGCATGTGACAACCAAGTTTTATTTGTTAACATTTATGTTACCTCTCTATCTAGCTGAGATGATGTCGTGGTGATCACGCCTGTAGTAGGATGCATAGAAAACAGGGTGGGTGATGCTGGTAACTGCTGGAGGATGGAGTACCTCAGGCGCGTGTGCAGCGTGTCAGGTTCATCTTTGTCAGTTGCACATACCTGTCCCACGGTAGAACCTACATATTGAAAAATCCTCTTTAATTTCCAAAACTTTCCCATTTTCAACTTTCTCTTTATTTCATTCCTCTCCATCCACCTCAAAAATGTTTGGGACCACTTAATTACATATCAGCTTTTATAATAGTTTTTCAACTTTATAATAGCTTTTACAAATTTGCAGATTTCTACATAAAGTATCACTTCCTTTTAAATATCCCAGCAGTCTAACATTTTGGAATTTGGTGGCCATTTCCATATTTACTATGTTTAATGTGTAATTTTATAAATGTTGATAAAATCCCTCCATGGCCTTCGTATTTCTGGAATAAAGAATTCTAATTAGTTTTTAACCTTTTTCTATTTGTAAGCTTATACTTAAATTGATCATGTGGGTCAGTTTTCTCTGAAAATTCTTGGGTTAGTTAGCTTTTTCTAGAGGAAGACTCAAAAACCGCATTTGGCCTTCCAGCTAAAATGGTCCATTTTCATAAGATTGAGAAAACATTTGTATTAATCTCAATGGCCTTTATGATCATACCCAGAATATTATCATTTAATCACTGTAGAACATCAGTAGACCTCTTCAAGGCTAAGATTCCAGTTGCTCAATGGCTTATTCTTTTTAGAGTTTTTTCTCTTAAAAGTACTTATTTTATCTCACACAGGAAAGCAAAAGAACATTTATTGAGTGACTCCTTTTTTTTAGGCACTGTGCTTGGCATTCGATGTTTGTTATGCTTCATTTAATCTTCATGACAGTCTTGCATATTGATATCCCACGTTACAGATAAGGAAACTAAGGCTTGTCAAGATGAAGAGAATTGCCTAGCGTCACAGCACACAGCGAGCTAGTGAAAGGCAGAGTAAACTTCTACCCAGAGCAGCCTGATTGGCAAGTCCCTTTTCCTTGCCAGCAGGATATGCTGCCTATTCATGGCACAGTGAGACTCGGTTTTTGAACTGAAACATCTAGTTGCCAAATGTTGTTAAAGAGGGGACTCACGGGCTGGCCGAGTGGAGCGATGGTTAAGAACTGGCTTAGGATGCCAGGGGGCCCCAGTTCGGATCCCACATATGAGGGCCAGTGACGCTGCCCTCTACAGCTAAGATGCTGAACAACAGCTCAACCTGGAGCTGAGCTGCCCTGAGTCGCCAATTTCCAATAAAAAAAAAAAAAAAGAGGGGACTCACCAATTCTGCTGCCTTCGGCAACTGTAAATATATAAATTTCTTCTGTAAATATTGGGTAGTTATCATTTTCATCCTCAATTTTGATTACTAGAGGCAGTGGAAATTCTTGATTGTATCCATCTGGAGTTGTTGCAAAGGCAACTATCTGTGAAGAGAGTAAAATAAAGAGAAGAAAAGCAAAAATATTCTATCAAAATATGGTTTAAACTAGCACTGGCTTTAATTTGCAGACTGCTCAGCATGGCACTATGAGTTCCATCATTTTTACTGTATTTGGATGTGGATATAACCCTAAAGCCACAAAAGGTGGTTAATTTTCATGGTGTAATACAGCATTTTATGTTTCAGTTTGTCTAACATAGTACTCATAACACAGATAATTTTAGTTTTCTCATCATTGCTGTATTGTTGTTCATGAATATAATAGTTTTTATTATTATTTTCCCAAAAACAGTATTCTGGAATATTTTGTTTCATTTGAAAGTTTCAGGTGCATGGATTTTAAATACAGCTTTCTGCATCTTTTTTAACTTTGGATTATTAAAATTCCAAATTTCCCATGTGCAGTTACCTGAGATATTGTCTTATTTTCTACTAATTAGAATTTTAGGCATATTGATGGTTATATTTAGGTAACTGTCTTCATATAAGTTTTTTTAATTTAAAAAAGGGAAGTCAGAAATAGAACAAGGGAATGGCTGTAAATTGTGTGGGGAATATAATTTATGTCTTCTGATTTCATAATATTAAATTCAATTTGCTTTTCTCGTAACAGCTATCATAGAAAGAATAGAACAACACAGGTCTTTAAAGGGCCATATTGTAGCAAGTCTAACTCTAAATATTGGGTTGTCAGAAGTCATGACATAATTTCTATGTTTTTTGTTGCAAAAATGTGTCATGACTTTTCCAACAACTCAATATTTAATTCAAAGTTTGCATGTCCATTCAGTTCATCTGGTCTACTGATAAATAATTAACTATTCCAAAATAGATGTGAATTAATTAAAATTGAGGTGAGCAAAATGGACTGTTCGGAAATCAACACAACATTAGGTTAAATTCTTACATTATTTACTCTCATACCACCATGGAAAGTCAGGTGATGAAAAGACTGAATAATCTTAGTTAGGCACTGTCCATACTCCTTACTTGCTCACCACAAGTTTACTCTCTCCTGTTGTAAAGGTACTGAGGCCTAACTTCTAAATTTCACTTACCTCCTATGGTGTCTCTCTCTGCACCATAAAGAGTTTCACAGATCTTTTCTGCCAACTAAATAGCTGTTTTTCAAAGTGGTACCCTTTTTTTCTTTTGGAAAAAAACAACAACCAAAAAAAAAAACCCCTAAAACTATAATAGTAAATACTAAAACTATAATACCCAAAACTTTCTAACAGAATCTAAAGCTATTTATTCTATAAAATTCTTTTTTGCTTCTAACCAAGTTTCAGCTATCAGATACAGCCAGAGCATAGGCGACTAACTCAGAAAATAGAAAAGGGTAAATGGACTGAGAATCAGAGACAAAGAAGCCAAGCTTAATAATTACTAACATAATACATAAACTTTACCTCAAACGACTCATACTGCTCACGGTCTACAGGATGATTACAATACAGGTTTCCAGTATCTCTATCTATAGAAAATAAATCCTTGGGTTCTTGGTCAACTCCATGCCCTGTTATAGAATAGTATATAGTGTAGTTCTGTGCTGTATCAGATTGAACCTAGAAGGTAGATATTATATACATGAGACAAAATTTTATTTCAGCAAACCTTTCATCTATATAGTTATGCAATCACATTGCCATTTTTATAGAAATAACTAACCACCTTCTTTAGTTATTATTAAGTATGAATAAAAAGCAGCAAGAGAATAAGGAAGACTAATAACTGACAAATTTTAAGAGCATGGCATGAGGAAAATAATGTAGCAGCATCTTAGTTTTCCAGAATAACTAAGGAATACTGTAAAGGTTAAATGGTGCCTGTATGGACCAAACATCTAAGACTTTGTCCTGTCTTAGGAAACAAAGTGTCCTGAGCATGAAAAGTTACCCTGCTGTCAATTTAAAAAAAAAAACAACCTGAATTTTTATTTTATGTGATATAATATTTGAGATACTGCATTTAAAGTGTTCTGTTTGCAGGGCAAAAACTTGGAAAATGCTTTCCTTATTAGTTTTGTTATCTGTCAGCCTCTTCTTTATTATAGGAGTTGAGTGGGGTGGGGGAATGAATGAGAACAGAACTGGCATAATATCTTGGCAAGTGTGATATTCCGGTACTTGATTCAAAACACAAATTTTTCCAAGTTATTTTCAACCTCTTAGTAAGATCTTGACTATGTATCAGAATGATTAACAGAATTATTTTGTGACAATTTCTTTCTCAACTTTAATGTGTTCTTCTCTCAGCCACATTAAATTTGGGGGCAAGATATAAAGGAGGATCCTCTCTCATCCTTTCAAGAACTGAGGGAAAAGAAACCCAACTCATAGATTGAATGGTAGTGGCCACTGACAGTGAAAGATGGCAAGAAGATTTGTGAGGGTTTCCACTAAAGTTAAAAAGGAGAGAAAACGTGGATCCAGTATGATTTAAGCAGTGGACTTAAAAGGTGTATATGTCTTTCCCCTTCATGGCTTTTGGCCTTTTATCAACAATTTCAACCTTTATTATGGAAGATGTTTTGGGGTTTTCTAGACTATACCCAGGCTCTGTGATACCCTTGTTGATATGAAAATTCATTAAGAAACCACGTGTTTGAGAGTGCTAGATGGGTTTTACAGTTTTATAAATGGGCTTTGAATGATTAAAACTGCAAAAAAGTTTATGTAGCTATAAAGAGATATATTCATGTCCATATATTAAAATACATGACACACATATTCATTCATTCATATATTCATACACCACTATTTTTTAAATAACTGCCTACTCATTGTCCAAATTAAAAAAAAAAATATGGAAATCATAGACTTTCACAGCAAAAGGAAAGTAAATTGTACCTGTTGAAGAAAAAGCGGGAAAGGACCCAAGGAATTCTCTACCATTGAACAAGGAATCGGAGCCCATCTTCTTTTGGCGCGTTTCAGAACTTTTTCTTTAGAATGACTTTGCTTTAGTACCTCAATTTAGAAGATAGAAAGAAATAATAATGTCAATAACTGCTTCATTCTCAAACGTTAGAACTATGATACATCTCCTCATGAGGATTAGCCAGAAAAGTGTAAACCATGGTAGTGCTTAAAAACCAAACTAAACGTCAACGGTGCAAAAAGATAATGAAGAAATAACTGCCCTAACCATTATCACATCAAACCTCTTGAAAAAAAAAAAAAAAACTTGGTGTGAATATGGAAGAAAGAGAGATGAAACTGGAAGCCTAGAGGCAAAATTGGAAAAAAAAAATTATACTTTTGCCACATTGCCATGCAAAAAAATAGAAGGAGAAAATGCAAAGAAAATAAATAGAGTATGTGCCCTTCTAAGTTTAGTATAAGCACCTTCCACTCACCAACAACTAGGAAGAGCCAGGGAATCAACAGAGAGTTCTGTGTCAGAATGAGGAGAAAAACATGGTGACAACTGTCAAACTGCTGTAGTGAGCCAATGGTTGAAGAGAAGTCATTTTGATCTTGGGTGTCACAATATAATAAGCATGCCTGAGGTCCGAACCTCAACCAAAAATAGTCATCTCCTTTCCAAGACTACAAATTATGCTAAGATAAGATGAGGCCTCCAGAGATAGCGTTTCAACACTTGTTTTTGAAAATCGATTCTACAGTCAAGATCAAGAAATGTGTCTTTGTGTCTAAACTCAAGTTCTCGTACTGTAGCATATCCCAATTTCTCCTTTTATGTCCCAAATGAAAAGGAATTAGAACCTCAAATTCACTTATGTTGCACAATCCTTTCCCATGTGAACACTGTTAAACTGTGGCATGGTTTTCGTTCTTCTTCAAGCTAAATTATCCCATATCCTTTCTCATTCCACATCTTCCCTGGCAATGTTAGCTACACCTGAAGAAAGTAGTTTATCATGCTTCATTTTATAGTTCGGCATACCTTTGTTTGATGCTCTAAAAGGACCAGTATTTTTCTCTCTTCCAAGTTCTCAGTGTTGGAAAGTGATATGGTAAAGTTTCTCTTCTCTGAGGACAAAAGGATAGCATTTGTAGTATAGATGGAACCATCTTCTAAAATTTGGAAATCAGGATCACTTGAATGAATTAAATTTGCAGATTCAAAGCACTCCTTCAGGTTAACTGTAAAAAATAAGACACAGCAATCATGTACAAGGCAAAACATAACAATATCTAGCTTTAACAGTAATCTATGCATTTGGAAGGGAGCCAAAAACTTAAATTAACTACACCAGCACTTGCAAATTTTTCATTTTTAAAAGAACTTATGAACTCTATGGTTAATTAAGTTATGCTAAATACATATAATCACTTCTAATACCTACTTTACATCCTTTAAAAGAAGAGATATTTGTCTTGAAATAAAGGTGTGTAAATCCCATTGCCTAAATATTTAAACCAACAACAAAAAAAGGTTTCTCTTTATTAACTGAAATTAGCTATCGAGTAACATATAAATACATTTGAAGTTAGTTAAACAGAATCTAGAGGATTAAAATTGGCAGTTATTCAATTAAAATATTACTGAACTCTTTGCATCTATTATTAAATAATCATATTCTGTATTCTCATTGGTCTAATCTTTTCTTATACAGTTATGTAAAAAAAATAATTGCTGAAAAAACAATATGTGAAAGTCAATGTCAACCAGATGCCAAAATGTTTTAGGATTAAAATCCAAAAACAATATCATTGAATTCAAGAAATAGTTTCAATACTATTTCTCAATTTCATAAAAGCATGTTCTATACCATATCCTTCAACTAATGTAAATATTAATAATTTTTATTACTCAAACTAAACCTTTTTATCTACTTCATATAATCATGTTTTTCAATAAAAAATATTTCTTTTATTGGAATGTTACCATCTGCATTACAAATTATAATGTACTACATGAGCTTTAATTCTTTGTTGCAATACAATTATCCTTCTAAAAGTTACACTGACTTTACAAGATCATACTAAATTAGAATTTTACATAGTTTGGCAATTTCTTACCTCTACCAACAAATTTCTCGGCATCTAGTTTGGAGGGAACATGTAGTGTCACTTTTTTGCAAGCATCACAGGAAAACACTAAGATCTAAAAAATCAAATCAATATTATACAAATCAATATATATAGTTTATATAATTATAAATTTGTATACTTATAAGTCAGTTTTTATAATTAACAGAATAACATAAAAACATACACTGGAGTAAGAAATCAGAAAAAAATTATATCGAGGGGAAGAATAAAATAATAAATGAAGGGTCATGGCTCATTCCTTCACAAAGCATGTAAACTCAGAGAATTCCTTACCTTCTCGGGCTTTGTTTCCTATTCTATAAAATAAAGCTAGAGTAATTTCACTAGCTTAGTGGGTATATTGAGGAATCAATGACAATGTATGTAAGGAAGTGCTGAAACTATTAGGAAGGCAGCACAGGTATGTAAACAAGAAAGAGAAACAAAACCAAATTTAATGAGCCAACAAAGTGTCTCAATTAACTGTCAATTGCCTAAATGAGCTATGATATGAAATCGATAATATCCTAAGTAAAACCTCAATGCCTTTGAAGAGTAGTGTTAACTCATTGCTGCGGAGTGATCTGGAGAGCATTTATAATATGTACGACCCCACAGGAACAAGCATATAACTTTGAAATACAAGCTTATTTTGAAAGTGTATCTTCTCATAAATGAGAGCTAAGGTCATTTTAGAAAATGTTTCACTTAATTTTTTTTAAATGAGTTAGTGATTTACACTGAACCAATTCCAACGCAATATATATTTGATACACACTGAAATTTAATTCCATTCTGACACTTTACAATGGTTGCTTCTGAGAGGCCCACAATGTTTTCTATAGTTTGACCCAATGCAAGATAAGTAAAACTAGCATTTTCACCGTTATTTCCAAAGTCTACAAACATAAATTAAAATCAGTAAAATGTGGATAAAAAATTTTACTTCCAATACACATTAAAGAACCTTTAATTATCCAATTTAAATTGCACATGAAGGATCAGGGAAAGCACAGATTATATTTCACTTAGAAATTGGGGAATGGACACGATGAAGAGAGTGTATTTGAACAGGAAATTAAAAGACCAGAGGAATTGTCACTGGTTGCATAACTGAGAGAGCACCGGGGTAGAGTCAGGTGACAGGATTCCAGCTCAAGGTGACTGAAAGCATACATCCACTTATTCATTCCACCAACATTCATGGGTTGTTTACTAGGCTAGACAGGGTTCAAAGGCTACAGCAGCGAACAAAGCAAAGTCCTTAATCTCACGGTGATGATGTTACAACAAGAGAAAAAAAAAATTAATCCACAAATGCACAAAGGTCACATAATACCAAGAGAATAAACGTTCTGAGAAAAATAAAGCAGGAGAGGGGGTGACAAAATGAAGACCAGAAGCTTGAATGAAATGAGGAAGCAAACCAGTTCATTAATGGGAAGTAGTCTTCCGGGTGGAGCAAACCCAGAAAAAAAGCCCTGGAAGGGGATTTCACCTGGTGTCTTGGAGGAATAAAAAGGAGGTCTAGAAGTAGAGTACCATGAGGGAAGAGTGATAGGAAATGATAGGAAAGAGATAGGTAATCAGGGGCATATCACATAGGGTCTAAAAGGCCACAGGAAGGAGTATTGATGTTATTCTGAATGCAAAGAGAAGCAACAGCAGGTTTAGAAGCTGCAGAGTGGCATAATCTGGAGAGCTTTTACACAGAGTCATTCTGGCGGCCATGTGACAATAGACTATAAACAAGTAAGTGTGGAAGCAAGGAGCCCAATTTGGAAGCGAAAGGCGGAATCTAAGAGAGGGAGGATGATGACTTCGACTAAGGTAAAAATGGTGAGAAATGGCTGCATCAAGACAATTCTTTGGATAACAATGTCGTGGACATCCACTCACTCAAGCATTGAACAAATATTTATTGAATCTTTCCTATGTATCGGATACATAGGAGTAAACATGATCTCCACGAAACACTCCATTTATGGGTAAGGCATATTTGTAATTTCAGTAAAGTAGGATAAATGCTAGAATAGGGAAGTACCGGGTGGTAGGAGAGAGTAGGGGGCACTAGCCTCATATAAGAGCCAGGTGATGTCACCTGAAGAGTGACTACGAATTAGCCATGTCAAGAGGAAGCAGAACTGGTATGTCCCAAACACAGGAATAGCATATGCGAAGGACCACAGGTGACACAGGCCTGGACATAAAATGTGGAATAATTGATGCTTATAGCACAAGAGGGACACACGTTTAAAACAGATTCAGAGAAAGGGAATGTGAGACAGATTGTAAAAAGCATTAACAAACTGCAGTAATACCTTGGTTTGCAAGCATAATTCGCTCCAGAAACAAACTACTTGTATTGCAAGACATCGCTTATTTACCAAGTTAAAATGTATTACTAGGTTGGTCCAAAAGTAATAGCAGTTTCTGCCGTTACTTGTAGAAATGTTTGCTAGCCTTGCGGAACACTCACAAACCAAATGACTCGCAATCCAAGGTTTTACTGTATATATATGGATCTCATTTCTTCAAGAGAATAAGAAACCAAATATTTGTTTTAAGCAGATAAATTACCTAAGCAGCTTTCGATTTGAATAAGGTAAGTCTGACCAGTGTGAAGAATGGATGGGGGAACAATTTTCATGTCCAATAATGACAGGTAGGTCATTCGGACAAATCCCCATACTAAAACTGAAAATGATGGGTACATTTTTTTTAAACCATCCTAAAACATTTAACGAGGAACTGCAAACAAAAACTAAGGATACAGCTTGTACATAGAGTGGTAAACTGAAACGGCTTCTGATCTGAAAAGATTTGACTCTGGTTTTTTGGACTGCACAGAGGAGAATGAAATCAAAGCACCAGCCCGCCTGAGATCTAAGACAAGAGCTGCCTACATTAACCTGGGACCCAAATGCAAAACCTTCCCTGTAAGGGTGAGATGGTAGTAAACTGGCCCTTGGATTGGATGTGTGATCCACATTCATATCGCTAGTTTGGTCTAGGAACCTCAAGCCATGAATTAGCTTAAGAAAGATCTGGTATGTGATCACCACTATGGATGCTGTAAGACGTTTGACCAAATTCAATAACCATTCTTAGATCAAAAATGAAAAAAAAAGTCACCCCCCCAAATAGTAATAAGTACTTCCTCAATATGATTTTTATATTATATTGTGATCACACCAATGGGAAAGCACTAGAGATAGTCCCACAAAACTCAGAAGCAAGACAGGCTTTCCAAGGTCATTATTTATACTTAACATTACATTAAAGTATATCAGGCAAGAGGAAGATATAGATGGCATACAAAATAGAAAGAAGAGGCAAAAAACAAACAAACAAAACCTGTATTTGCATTTGATATGACTATTTACCTGGAAAACCCAAGCAAACCAACTGATAAATTACTATAAAATAGTAACAGGATCTCAGTAAAGGAGTAGCAATAACTATTAAAATACAGAAGTCATTAGTCTTCATGTATATAAATAAAACCAGTTAAACAATACAGTGGAAGAGAAGAAATCATTTTCAAAAACAAAAAAAGTTAGAATGCTAAGGGGTAACCTTAACAAGAAACATATAAAGCCTATTTGAGAAAAATCTGAAGACATTTCTAAAGGTCACCAAAGTAGATTTGAACAAAAAGGAAAATACATCATTATTTTGGAGAAACAACTCAACAACACAAATGTATCAATTTTCATTAAGTTAAATTATAAATTTGATGATCCAACAAAAATTCCAGCAGTATTTTTTCTGAAACTAGACAAGCTAATTTAAAAGGTCACAAGGAAAAAGAAATAATTAAGGATAGGAAAATTATGAAAGAAAAGAAATGAAAAGGATATTAGCTCTAGCACATATTAAAAGATCCTATGAAGTCTCAATAACTAAAATAATGAAATATTGGTATAAAAAAAACTGAAAGATATTAGATGCATATGAAATGGGAAGGAAGAAATAAAAGTTTCTATTTGCATTTGATATAACTGTATATAGTCCATAAATGTAACTTGTTTACACTCACCAACAATCTATGGGAGTTCTATTTCTTCACATTCTTGCCTATACAGCATGTTGTTAAACTTTTGGATGTTTGCCAAATAACAAATGACATTTCAGTGCAGTTTTAAATTCATTTTTTCTTATTATGAATGAGGCTGACATATTTTTATAGGCCATTTTTATTACTTTATGGGAATTTTTCATGTCCATGTTCATGTTAGACATCTTGATTTATCAAGAGCTCTTTATATATTAGATTAGCCTTTTAAAATATGATCTGCAAACATTTTTTTCCAACTTTATCAGTTACCTTTGACTTTGGTTATGATGTTTCTGTTTGATTTGGTTTGTTCTTTTGCCATGGACAAGCGTTTGTATGTGATTTAATCTAATCGATTTTATCAATTTTAATAAATAGCTTTTGAAATCTGAGTCATAAATAGGGCTTCTTGATCCCAAATAGAAATTCACCATGTTTTCTCCTATTATCGGTATGATATCATGTGTTATTAAACCTTTCATCGGTTTGGAGTTTTCTGCGGTGTTCTGCATGAGGAGTGGATTCAACTTTATCTTTTTTTTGCCAAATGACTGCCTAGATCAAGTACTGTAGTCTCATACCATATATACATAGTATAGTATAATATAGTATATGTGTGTGTGCCAAAAAAATGTATACACATTTTAAGAAATGAAGAAACTGGATTAAAACTGTAACAATATATACGGATAACAAAAGATGAATACAACTCATGTATATACATTTTTTTGGCACCTCTGGTATAGATAGATAGATAGATAGATATAGATGTATAGATACAGTGATACGCCATCTATAATAAAATAGATTTGTCTAGTCATATACAACCTTTATGGAGGGGAGAGGGAGCTGGAAATATCTACCAAAATTATAGAGCCATTTATACTTTTATGTGGCAATCCCATTTCTGGTAGTCTATTCTATGGATACACGTGCCCACATATGAAATAACATATATACAAGTTTATTCATTGTGACATCATCTATAATAGCAAAAAGTAATAGCAGAGGTACTGGATAGAAGTAAAAACATCCATGAGATAATTCTGAATGTGGATTTAATGGGACTTAAAGATGGATTTAGGGGAGCGGAACAGTGAGGAATTAAAAACAGCTTCCAGATTTTTGACTTGAGGAACAAGGTATATCGTAGTGGCATTTATTGACATATAGGACACCAGAAGAAAAGCTACATTGTTTGAGAAGATAATAAATGCTGTGTCACACACATCATAGTAAGTAGAGGGATACAAAGGCCTATTGTTCAATGAAGATATCAGAAGTAGCCAAATAAATATAATATACGTAGGCACCTGTATGATATTTTAGGAATGAGCTAGAATACAGAGTCTGATTCTGAGTGGTCAGGAATGTAAAAAAAAGAGAGAAGAGGAGTGAATTTCAGGAATAAAGGTGCAATCTACAACGTGGACTTGTGTAAGCAATGATCTGGATTTAGCAATGAAGATGCCTGGTGATCTTAAAGAGGGAAGCTTCATTAGGTGCTTAGGCAGAAGCCAGAGTTCATGTGGTGAAGACAGGGGAGTTTGGGGTGAGGCACTTTTAGGAAGTGGGGAGAAGCTGATTTGTGGAATGCTGAAGTAAGATTACTTGCGTGTACTGGGAGCAGGAAATGTGAAGGCTGTCCCCAAAAGCCATTCTTATTTAATAATATCTTCTACCCAAATAGTCTTTTCACACCTATCACACTTGAGGCTCACAACCACCACAACCACCTGAGGCTGGCAGAGAGCCTGCGCCCAAGAGCATCAGGACAATCTGAGGGCCTCACACAATGCCATCCAGCTTGACTGTAACAGAATAAGGGGTGCAGCCAGAGCCCCTGCTCTTTTTCTCTCCACCCCACTTCTGGCTTATTCTGCTGGGAAGCCAAGGAATGGGGATTATTCCATTTATTTACTTACATCAGCTTTCTTGTAAAAAGGTTCTGGGAGGACCCCAGAAAATCCTGTGTGTATGCACCAACCAATGCTCCTGATTGCCCTCGCCACCTCTTTGCCTTCAAAGAATAATGACTAACGGTATAAAAAGAGGTGGCAACTTTATTAGGAATCTAACCACCATTCATTCCTTTGTCATCAACTACACATATCGTGACCATAATTTATTCCATTCTTGAATTCCTCAACCATAAAATGTTACGGCACCTCTATTAATAACATAATAACCTATGTTATTAATGGGCCCCCGGGGAATTTCGTTAAGGGTTTGAAGCCCATGGAGTTCCCTGGGAAAGACGTTGTAATAATAATAACAACAACAATTTCATTACTTAAAATTTTAAGGAATTCGGTGTAAAGTAAGAGCGGTCGAGAAGGGGAAATTATCCGAATAGTTCAGCCCCCCAGCTCCACCACTCTCAAAAGGAATCTTCCCGCTGTCGGTCCGCCAGGTTCGTCCCCTTGTCCTTCAGGTTTGACAGAGGCCCCAAGGCCTGGGGCTGCCCGGGAAAGGGCAGCAACGACCTGAGCAGGCTCCAGCTTCACGTTTGTTTTAACTTTTCTCCTTCCAGGAAGTCCAGTCTGGGGAACCTCGAATCCCAAAGGCTGCTCCCTCACACTGGATTCCTGGGCCCCCAGTGAGAACCCAGTCTGTTCTGCCAGGGGCCGGGGCGTAAGGCCAGCCCAGCCTCTCCCAGCCCTGAGTACCCGGTAGGGTCTTCGCTACCGTGTTTTTTTAAAGTGGGAGGGACGCGGGAAGGCGGGGGGCAGAAGAATCCACGTGCCCCGAGGAGGAGATATCTGGACGATCATTTTCTCAACAATTAAGGGGAAGAAACCCCCACACGATGACAAAAAAAAAAAAAGGAAAGTATACAAAGGGTCACCTAGGGCCCGCCGATCTACGGTGTGCAGCAACAGAGGCTGGAGGCCACCGCAACACACACACACTCCGCAATCCCCCCTAAAGGCGCGTAGTCCTCTGTCACCCAACAACCGCGCTTCCCTCCGCGTCCGCCCAGGGGCTCCCCGTTTCCGCGGCCCGAACCCGCACCCAGGCAGGAGCCGACGGCACCTTTTTGGGGAGAAGCGCGCGAGGCGCCCAGAAGGCGCGCGCGCCGGCCGCGCCTCGCTCGTCCCCAAAGGCCACGCTTTCGGATGGGCGTTTGCAGCTCGTAACGCCGCCGCTACCTGCCTGCGCTGATTACATCGACGGGAGACACCCTCTTCTTCCCCTGAGGGATCGCGCTCAGGTCACCATCCTCATCCGGCCGGCCCTCCCCCACCCCAGCCAACTCCATTTTTTCACCCAGCCCGAGGCCAACCCCCGCCTACCCCTGCTCCTAAAGTGTCCCCCTTTCTCCCCAGTCCCTCAGAGCCCGCCCCCGGACAGCCGGCGGCCCGGGCCGCTACTCACCGCGAGGGTCAGCAGCAGCCGCCGGCAGAGGGCTCCGCTCCGGAAACGCGAGGCTGGGGCTGCCGCCATGGGCGCGCTCGGGGCAGGTCGCCGGCCGGGGCACCCGGAGGCCGGGCTGGGAGGGCTCGGCCGCGGCGCAGCGGGAGTGCGAGGCGGCGCCGGCGGAGCGCGGAAAGAGGCGCTTTTCTTCTAGGTTTCTCTGAAGTGTCTGCCTCTCACTCAAGGGGCTTTTCCTCTGGCCGAGGGTGGGGCTCCAGGAGCGTCGGAAAGACACCGGTCGGCCCCTCCTTCGTCTTCTCTTAAGCCTTCATTTCTTGAGGAGCGCATCAGGTGGGCACTCCCTCTCGCCGCCACCCTTTTACCTGTGCTAGGTGTTTCTCACCAGCCGACGTCACCTCTATGCCACCTCTGCCCACCGCCCCGGTGTCCGCCTGGAGGATTAACAGCTGGCCCAGCCCAGCAGGAACCCTGACTGTACAAAGACTCACGTCCCCAGCGCGCCGGCGGCGGGAAAGGGCGCGGGTCCGAGCGCGCTCCCGGCCCAGGCTCCGCCCCAGCGCTGCCCTCTCGGTCAGCAGCTGGCCCTACCCTTGGGGCAGCTGCAGACCCTCAGGGACCGCCTGCAGGCTGGAGAGGGCTGATTTTATGTCACAGCTGCCTAAGGCTCGCTTGTTAGGGGGCTGACTCCGGGGAGACTATTTTACAAACTCATCGCTGGAGTAAATTCACTGCAGACATCCAAGTGCAGTTCACACAGGGCTTTCATCTGTAGCACACCTTTCTTTGAGGTCTTGAGTTTTTTTCAGAAATGTCATGGCCAATATGACAATGATACAAGGAAATTACCATAAGTTAAAGAGAATTATACAGTATATATACATTTATATAATTGTATATATATAATTATAATTTTATTCATATATACATATATATACAGAGGGTGCCAAAAAATGTATACACATTCTAAGAAAGGAAAACTATATTAAACTTGTAATACTCAATATATACCAATAACAAAAGAGGAATACAAGTCACATTTGACTTCTGCAATTACAAGAGGTGCTCAAAGTGGTTACCGTCAGCGTCCAGACACTTCTGATTATAACGAACTACGAACTACTGCTTTAGTAAGGTTAACCAAAGTGTCCACTTGTATACATTTTTTTGGCACCCCTCATATATGAATCCAGACTACAAGAAAACAACAAAATCAAAGGTGAGTTACTATGGAAAATACATTGCTTGAACTACTAAATGTTGGCTAAATGTGGGTTACTGATTTTCTCCAAGATCATCTCTTGTCACATTTAAAGCCAACCACTGGCTTTCTTATAACTTATCTCCTAAATTGGATTCCTGTATATCTAGTGGAGATTTCTTTCTTCCTTTCCTACCACCTAAACCAGAGTTTGTGGTGAGAAAAAAAAAAAAAGAGAGAGAGAGAGAAAGAGATAATATTTGCTTTAATTTGAAGTGTACTTAAACCAAGTGAATTATTGCAGCACTTAACCTGGAAGATTAAAACATAAAAGAGTGGGATGCTTTCAGCTTTTCAGAAAGCAATGACAGGGCATTCTGACTCACCTTCTGCACTCCTTTTCCATTACTGGCTTAAACCAGGAAACTGACCACAAAGGAGAAACCTGTCTGTTCCATTTCGTTTGGTTTGTTCTCCTTAAGGATGTTTGGAGAAACCTGTTTGAAAAGCCAACCATGACACACCATTTCAGTTCTTGAAAACATGTAATACCTTTATGTACAGAGCCAAAATTAGTATTGTATTGAGCATATACTGAAAATTGTAAGTAATGTCAAACATGACATGCCTTACATTCTATGTATTAGCCCCATGCTAATGCATGGGGATAGTGAATGACACACAACGAGCTGTTCTGTCTGCGCATACATAAAATTTACCATTGAAGCTTTGCTAATAAAATAAGCCTGGGTCATCAGCCTGAGACTATAGTTGACTTCTTTCTGTTCCATATTTTTTTTAACCCTCATGTTTTTCCAGCAATGATTTCATAAACATGCCTCATCCTATTAACGATGACATCATAATAAAGCACAGAGAAGCAAACTAGTTTTCTCAGGCTCTAGAAATTTAGTCAGGCTATCATCAGTCTTTGACAATAGGACTGTTCCAAACTCTTGCCTAGCCTTTAACCTCTGATGCCTTAAGGGTGGCTCATGTTTTCCTCATTCCAAAAAAGGGTGGAAGAGCAATTAGAAAAAAAATTTATCTTAAATATTTATTTTCACCTTTCACACTAAGTAATTGTTTGAGGCTATTAAAATGGTGATTTTTTTTGTTTGTTTCACTGTGAAACTTTTCTAAACAAAGGCATGAAATATCTACTTACTCTAAACAAGTGGCCCAATTTAGTTAATGTGTTTAGATTAGACTAGATGGTCACAAAAATGGATTCCTTTACAATACAATTCTGAAACAATAGGTACAAATTTGAAGAGACAATGAAATGTGGGTAGAGGTTTTTTTTTTTAAAGAATGACTTGGCTGTGAAGATAATTCTGATTACTTGAACTGGTTTTTTTATTGTGCTCTAGTAAAGGGTGAGCTGGACCAAAAGTCACGAGGAACTTTCCCTATGTCTTGGGCTGGTTAAGTAACCTTTCGGGCCTCAGCGTTCCCATTTGTTCAGCAACATGATCAAATCGTGGATACCATCTTTGGTCACTTTCATATCTAAAACTAGTTAGACTTCTTGTGACTGGTGTTTTGAGAATGCTGGGAAATGGGTATGCATTTCCAATAGAAAGTCAGAACCAGAGCGGTCCTTGAAGAAATAAACAAACAGCAACCAAAGGCGTGTGGGGCACATCTATGCAGCCTAGCTTCACAATTTTCTAATTTCAGAAACGAGAAACTAAAGATATGAACGGCAACTAAAATTCCCACTTACGCACTGATGTGTACATCCAGACAGCTCTCCCTGAGCTCCATGATCCCTGCCAGTCCCCCTGCTGCTGGTGCGGAGAGTCCACATGAACATGTGATCTTTAGAGCGAATCTATCTTGGCAACCCCAAAGCAAAGGAAACATGGACCTAAGGGAAGATAAGCAAGATTAAAGCACATTGTATAGTTAGTTACTTTATAGGTGAGAGTAGAGAGGGAAACATCTGATAACCACAATAAAATGAGCTCGATTATTTACCTCTCAGAGTTGTTGCAAGATTAAATGGTATAATGCATGAAAGATGTGCAGAATAAAGCGTGACATATTCTAAGTGCTCCCTAAGTGTTGTGAGGACCTAGGCCCAGACCCTAGGCCAGGCAAACTATACCGTAGGCTAGACAGGCTCACTTTAGAAATACCCCCGCCCTAAGGAATAAGATAAAATCGTACTCTAGCTGAGCATAGCAGAACATCCTGTTAAGCTAGCAGGATGCTATCATAACTAATAGTAAAAGCTCTGCTTTGCAAGAATTACAATAATATATTATTTTACAGATTATTGCAAGGTTACAATAATAGATTATTTTACAGATTACCCATTTTCACACCTAGCTCAGGACGTTTTGCAAGAACTGCTTTTTTGCTTCTGTACACTTGCTTCTGCTCAAACTCCCGGAAATTAAGCCCCTATAAAAACTTCCACCCTCAAAGACCTCGGGGCCATTCTCCTCTTGCAGAGTGAGGCAGTCTCCAGGCTTGGCTAAATAAAGCTTTTGGAATGAAAACTCTGTCTCTTAAGTCATTTGTAAGAAGTAAGGACCTAACAGTGTCAGTTAGTATGGGTAACTAACCCTATTCTCCCCACCCATCCCTCTACAACACACGCATATCCCCCATCCCACCTCATCCCTATGACAGCCCCCTGGTTCCTGATCTTCCACTACTTCTCCTCAGGTCCCAGTTTAAGGCTGAACACCAGTGTTAATTCCATTAATTACCATTCCCAAATCCTTCAACCCCTTTCCCCTCAACATGACCCCCCAGGCCTGTCTGACACAAAAGGATAAAAGATGCAATGCTAAGATGAAATGCTACAGTTTGTACTAGTTGTGTACTGTCTGAAAACTTGGACCAAGTTTTTAAAAAGAATCCTTTTATAATGGGAGAAAAGTTTTTTAATTTTTGCCTCATCTAATAAGTAAGACATCTATTTTTTAATGCTGTCCATATTTCTTTGAAGCTCTCTATTCAAAGTTGGCCTCAATAAAAATGTATACTAATCAGAAACAACTTCATTACTTTTCAAAGTATAGTTTTGAAATACATAAGGGATAGAATGTGGAGTAAACTAGAAATCAATACTTATTATGGTAATTTTAAATTAGTAGACCCTTAACAGGAGCAAATCAACGAATGAATTCTTAGACAGTTGTGTAGAACATGACCAGAGATGGTTCACAGCATCTGGTCTGCCTGTAATAGATGCCATTAATATATGCCCCCCAGGAGTACTGTGAACAAATACATCCTTAAAACTATGAAATTTTCGGTTGTTTGCTTTACTAATTTGACAAGTATTTAATGAGCACTTACTATGTCCCAGGTGTTTTACTCAGCATTGGGAACACTGTGGTGAACAAGATAGAGAGGGTACTCACTCAAGGGAAGCATCTAAGGAAGTATAAAAAGAAAGCTGGGAAGAACAAGTACTCTCCACCTGAGATTTACATCATGCTGATTCCTTTCTAAATGAACGGAGAAGATTAATCTCAGTTAAGTGCAAATTAAAGATAAACAGCATTCTGTGAGGATGAAAAACTACTAATATGAAAATAATTTCTTAATATCTGTACAAAGATTATGAAATGTTACCTTCTTTTTAAATAGACAGAGAGGCAAGAAAGTCACTGTTTTATGAGATAATCTAGTCTAGAACATATTTGCTCTTGGCTTCTTTGACAGCAGTGTCTCCTGTTTTCTTCCCTTGCTGGCTGTGTCCAGGCATTCTCACCAGCTGACTCCTTTGCTCTTTCTGAATTCTAAACATTGCCACACACAAACACATCTGTATTTTTCAGACCTTTGCACTCAGGAGGCGCCTTCTTTCATAGGCGATTTGTACGTGGTCTTTCATCTTCCTCTTGCTCTTTCATCCCTCTGGCCTGGTCAACTTCTACCTATCCTGTAAATAAATATGAGGTATGACAACTGAGTTCGCGAACTCATCCTAGAAAAAGTGCTATATACCTCATTGCTGAATATCACCACAGTCACCTTTGAAGTACTCTCTTTGGGAAGCTATGTACCAATGCCAGGGCCTAGTTCACCCTTCAAAGCAATTTTGGAACTCTTTTTCTGGAACGGCCATCAGAGCTGTCGTCGTATCACCCTTGATGTCCTGAATGTCACCAAAATGTCTTCCTTTCAATAGTCCCTTTACTTTGGGTAAAGAAAGAAGTCACTTAGGGGCCAGATCAGGTGAGTAGGGAGGGTGTTCCAATACAGTTATTTGTTGACTGGCTAAAAACTTCTTCACAGACAGTGTGAGCTGGTGCATTGTTGTGATGCAAGAGCCATGAATTGTTGGTGAAAAGTTCAGGTCATTTAACTTTTTCATGCAGCCTTTTCAGCACTTCCAAATAGTAAACTTGGTTAACTGTTTGTCCAGTTGGTAAAAATTCATAATGCATAATCCCTCTGATACCAAAAAAGGATAGCAACATAATGCAACAAGTTTGTGAACTTATTTGTCAGATCTTGTGTCAACTTTTTTCTCTCCTACCAGTTCAAATCCTTTCTGAGTAAGGCAAACTTGATTAGATAGGTATGGGTAAAGGAAAAGAAGCCTGGAGAGCAGACATTTGAACTGTGA